GATGCCACCATATCATCGAATTCGTCTATTTCTTGTATGATTGGTGGATAATCTTCTGCATAATCATCTGATTCCTCTTCCTCAGGAATAACTTTTGTTATATAAAAATCAACTTCTTTCAATCTTCTTGTTTCGGGTCCTGACTTTCTGATCGCATGTAGAAATTTTGAGTATGCTACTAAATCCTTGTAATCGGCAATATCAACATCCTCGCCATTCATTAAATCTATTAACCCTCTCGTTAATGTAAATATAAAGTCTTTTGTGTCGATTTTGAATTGTGGTGAATTTCCACTAAATATTATTCTAAATCCATTAAACAATAAACCTTGATTATCAACGATTGGTGAAATGCTCTTTGGTAAATCTGGGTCAGGGTTTGAAAAAAGACGTTTTATATCATCTAATGTCCTAATTATAATACCATTATATTCAATCGGTTTGGGTTCTATATGAAGTGTGGGTTCTAAAGCTAATTTCTTTTTAATATCCACTTGAGATTTTAATATGGGTTGAAATAGAGTCTGTAGATTTTCCGTTAATCCGAGTTGTTGTAATCTGTTATTTTCAACTTGGGTCTTTATTTTATTCTTAGCTTAGATATATTCTCTATTTCTTTTTAAAAAATTATTCCAATCCGTCATTTTTTAAAAAAATAAAATTAACATATATCGATCATAACTCTTTCTCCCGCAGGTTTTCTAGTATTTACAAATACATATCCATGATCATCTGGGTTTCTCCATTGAGCTTTACAAACCTTTTTAAATGTATCTCTGTCCATTCCGTGATTTATAGACTGAATGATTTGAGATAAATCTTTATCGTTTAATTCAAATAATAAAAAACAATTTGCATTTTTTCTAATGAACATAGAATCCATCCCATAAAAAGATTGGGATTGGTATATGCAGTGACAGTTGTGATGTCTTCCTTTGGTGAAGAATTATTGTTGAACAGTTTGATTTCTTTGCGCTACGCAGTCGTCAAACAATATTAAGTTCTTTCGATTGCTATCAATATTAGACAAGTCTAGATCATGAACATTTTTCGTAAGAAAAACTTTTATATCCGTTGGATTGAAAGATGGATTCTTTGATTTAATGAAGTTTTCTATGATATCTTTTATTTCCACTTCTTCTTCGTTTTCCTCGTAATATTGAAATATGTCTTGAACGTCTTTCTTTGGTAAATATTCCAAAGCTTTGAGGAATTGATAATACGATTGCTCTGGTGTTGTTGTGTAGATATACAGAGAATCGAAATCTAAAAGGTTTGGTGTTGTCAACATGTTAAAAGTGAGATGAGTTTTCCCAGAACCTGAACTACCGCATATACACATGAGCATTGGGTTTATTAGGAAATATTTCTGAATGATTAAATTTTTTGCCCATTTTTATTTATTACATTTTCGTACCAAAAATCACCCCGTTGCCTTTATACTTTGAAAGGAAGATTCCCTCGCCCGAATGTATGTTTTTAAAAAATATGGCGTTGCCCATGTGTTTGACCTTCATTTCTCCGGTGTCGATTTTATCTATTAATTTGCTTAAT